GGACTCCACACTAACAGGTCCCCACTCCCCAATAATATTGAGTAAGATTTGACGACAGCAAAATGTTTAAAGCTTTTTTTTTTAATTTAAGTCACTGTAAAATAAGAAAATAAATCACTCAACATATTCTAAATTCCTTATAACATTGTTTTCCCCAATTTTATTCTATATGTAATACAAATAACAATAAAGTTCATAAACTCCCTTTATTTTACACGCAAGGAAGAGGGACAGAGAGCAACATGATAGTTTTTTTTTTTTACAGTCTGATGACCGCTTTTCATCACATGAGAAGGTCAAAGTTGCAAATAGCAACAGTGTCTTACATTAAACACTGTTTTGGATTAGATAAGATGGAATAAACTTTCAACAAGCCAATCTTAATCGCACAGTAGAACGTCCCACAGAAAGAACTCAGCCATCCACAAGGGCATTACCTTAGTCAATTACTAGAACAGTTGCTCAGCCATACATGATGAGTACTGTAGCAATATGTTTGAATATTTAGAAAGATCATAAAGAATTGGTTTACGTTACATGAAATTTAACACGTTCATAGATGGATAGATTGTGTGCGCTCCATGCGATGGTTATGGAGAATTGGCATACGCTACGTTAAATTGAATGCACTTATAAATGAATAGATAGCACGCCATAAAATTTTCTAGATCTATATGTAGGATTCTGAAAGTGGAAAGAATGGAAGTTTAGTTATATTGCCTAAAAGGAATCACGATTTATGATTATATTTTGGAGGAGAAGATGGCATGTATTGTCAATTAAAGTTAGGGATGATGGCGGCAATGGTTGAAGATGATGATATATGACAAATATCAGTGTTACTATCATCGGGAAAAGATTGAGGATGAACACCGTCGATGATAGACGATCATCAGTTGTGATCATCGTTGCAGCTGATGATAGAATTTCAGCATATTGCTTTTTTAACAAGTGTTTAAATGAACTTGTCCAGATATTATTAAAGAATTTGAGAATTTGTTTGATAGGTTTATAAACTCTCGGACTAAATGATTCACACAACTATTTAAACACTTTATACATTTTATAAAGCATTATCTTAAAAAAAATATATTTTGCAACCATTGGCCTGTTGCTGCAGTCAGTAAGAAAAATAATTCAGGAGATATATCCAAAAATCCTATTCCTTTATGTTTTTGCCACTTTACTCTCAAATTCTATATCAACATCAATACGTGCAAAGTTAGCAGCAGTTGCAGCGCCCCAGGATTTGGCCTTTCAATTTTTTAAGCTTGAAGATCATTAACCGCCCGAAAATTGATTAGAATTTTTGGCACAGATTGAAATAAGATATCAAAGCTACGAAAAAAAAAAATTGGGTCAATTTTTGTTCGAGCCGATCCAAATTGACTCGAAATCGGATAGTGAAAAATCCTAATGACGTTTTGGCTGTAAATTTAATTGATTTAGTTTGAAGATTGTTATTAACCGCTCGAAAATTAATTTGAATTTTGGCTCGGATTGAAATCAATGAGTCCGGGCTACGAGCCAAAGGTTTGGATCAATTTTTTTTCATTTTTGATTTTATGCTTAGGCGCTTTGGCTTTGTGCTGTGATGGTTTGCTGTTGATTATTGAACGAAACATTTAAGAAGACGATGAAATTTGGTCAATGTAGTTGGGGTAGACCGCCATTCATGGGCTGATCGACCAGCTAATGAAGGAGCCGTGCCTCCATTCATAATTTGCTTTGGTGGCCACAAGCTGTATCGTTACTCTATTACTCAGTTCTTCTTGAAGGTTAAGGAACTTAGAGTATTGCTGTTGGGAAAATTTTCTGTTCCAAATACAACACCCATAGAACCCTGAAAAAAGGCAAAACTAGATCTAACTCCCCCTTAAATCCAATTCTCACCCATTTCATCTCTTTTCGACCGTTCCATCTCCTTTGTGTGGAGGATTAAACGGATTTACTCCGCCACTGCTCGCGTGCATCATCTCCAAAAATTTTGATTGATCCTATTTTCGCAAATGCAATTTAATTTTTAGTTTTAGAATTTTAATATTCAATTTTTTTTTTAATTTAAATTTTTATTTTACCTAACAAATTAACAAAATTAAAAATATTAGTTAAAATTTTTCTATTATATTTTAATTCACGTCAAACATAATGAAAAAAAAATTAAAATTTTAATTATATATAACATTTGATTGAAATAAATAAAGAATTATTGGAATTCAATCAATATTATACATGTAAGATGTGTAATTTCTAATATTTGTTGATAAGTAAATTCAAACAAACAATTAAATTTCAATTTTTTCATGATCAATTTGTTTAAAACAAATTAAATATTGAATGGATCAGTTTGATTTTTTAATTTTCCATGCAATCAATTTGAACAAAATTGGAAATTAAGCCATTCAAATGAATGGAATGCTCAGCTTTAAGCGCCATAGAAAAAAAATTGCGATAAATATAACACATTTACATATTGTACATAGAGTAGATGTTTGCGCTAATCTTAAAAACTTCTAAGAGTCCATAAGAGAAAAGCGCACTCGGATAGAATCACTGCAAGGGGATCATGAGGCCCACTAGACAGAACGAGCCAAGGCATATGCACCACACCAACCAAGCCAAAACCAATAGAGTCGAAAGGTGGATAAGAAGTGGACCGGGGAATCCAAGTGTAAGCAACCTGACTAGAAAGAAGACAAGAGTTAACCTGAGTCATCCACTGCATGAAGCCGACTCGATGTCATATCCTATCCCGCATTGGAGCTAACCCAACGGGAGTGCCAATTACACAAAGTATCTCTAGCCATCTCGCGGAGACCCAAAGTCTCCTCGCTAGGAATCAAAGAAAGTCAATCGCGTTGAATCAACCGATCAAGCTCAGACAACTGAGCTGGCCCCGTCCGAGTCAACAAAGCTCAATCGACCGAGCTAGAAGGCAACAAGATGATAGACCAAGCTAGAAGGCAACAAGATGATAAACTTACACTTGTAAAACACTAGAAATACCCTAGATCCCCAGTACATGCCCTCTCCAAACGTGGATAAAATACATAATATCACAATTATACGACCTCCTCTATAAATAGCAAAAATATTTTATAAAAAAAACACCATTGAATATTATTCATCTCTCTCTCTCTCACTCCTCATTTAAGATCTTGTACATATAAAGATATCTCAGTGTGAATCTCAAGACAAATGAAATGATAAGAAGATGTGATCCATTAAACATAGCCTTTGACGATCCTTTTTTGGTTGAATATCAGCAAGAGAAGTCTGGTTCGAACGATTGGCGGAAAACACCAAGAGAAGCTCTCGCATGATGGTAATCAGACTTCAAGACGATCGACATTGAGCACTCTTTCAGACAAGATATCGATTGAGTCAAAGCTTACAAGACAATCGACAACTATCATTGATCGAATCAGTCTTCGATCTTATTATATACGAGTAACTAGGTAATAATCAAAAAGTCTCCCTGAAAGGCTAATGATGATGGGTTTAATATGTACTTTTGTAATGATATGACATATGCCTATAAATAGGGGTCAATGTCATGAATAAATGACAACTCTTTTATTGTTCTCTACTTTGTTATCTCTTTCTCTCTCTCCCTCTTTCTAACGAAACTTTTTACTCTTGGGCGTATTTCCCAGATACTTTTGGATTCAAATCAATTCATTGGTTGTGATTGAAGGCGAATAAATTTCACATGGACTAAAACGCAAGAATGCTTGAGAAGATCAGAATGCCTTGAAATAAAGCTTGTGCTCAGTTTTTTTCTTTTAAGAAGAATGTAAAACTCTTAAATTCTTTTGTTGCTTGTCGATGAGCATTCCATCAAACTTGCTTATGCTATGATATGCAAAGAAGAAAATTTTGTACTGTGTACACAAAAAAAGGTAAGATTAAAAAAAAAGTTTGAGTAAAAATGGCATGAATTTACGTGATAGGCATGAATTGATGCCAATACAATGAGCAATTAATGTGTGCGGAGAGCGCATGCAGAGCTGTGTGCGCTCTATGATAATAGCCGCACATTGCTGCTGTATGACAATAGGTCTCACTGGCATACCCACGCAGAGTTGCGTGCTCTGTCTGCACGCAATAATTAGACCTACAAAATTATTTGTCGGCCAGCAATTTTATTAATAATTTTTTTAAAAAAATTATTATCTTGACCTGAAATTTAAATTGTGTCTATATTAAATTTATTCCTCAATAATAAAAAAAATCAATTATTAAGTTTAGTGGGCTGGACAGAAAAATCATTAATAAAATTTTATTGTTCTATTATGTGCTGTGCGGTCGCCGCTCTGTGGCAATATTTAATTTTTTATCTAAGTTAATGGGGTGGCTATTTTTTATTTATTAATTTGTTTATTTTGGTTTTATACTTCCTTTTTTTTATTTTTATTTTATTTATATTTTAATTTGAATTAATATATTTTGAATTATGATAATTATTGTTAAAAATATTTAAATCAATGAAGAATTATTTTGAATGTTTATGAAAAATAAATTAATTTATTTTTAAGGTGGTGTTTGGCTGCAATTAAGATTAAGCATTCATAGAATTTAATGAATCTGAAAATCTTAAATTTGTTAAATACACCATCTCCTTTTATGTTTGGCAGGATTTGATAAATCCTATTCAAACGTGCTACAAAATAGATGAAACTTAGGGGTGGCATAAATTTAAAAAGAAAACTATAGGTGTTGGTTATGTAAATACATAGGAAATCTGTGGTCCATATGCAAATGCCTCAAAATAAAAAGGCTTGCCAACGGCCATAAGATATTCACAAGTCAAAATCAATGGGATTGAATCAACCCATTTTCCCCGAGGAATCATGTGATTGATTCACGGACCGTCTCAGGATGCGTTTGAGGGTGTTAATGAATCTAATCTAAACATTCATGAAAGAATTTTAGATCAAAATAAGATTTTTTTAAAATAAAAACTTTATTCTTACAAATATTTTTCATAATTTTCACCTTAAAATTTAAAATCAATAAATACATGCATTGCTACACAGAATACACCACACCTCACGCCACTCAGAAGACACACTGCAATTCATTTTTCTATTAACAATTCACAAACCTGAAAGATCAAACTTGCAAGAAATTAAATTCTTTTTATAATTACAATAGTAACCCGTATCATATAGGTAACCATCCGCCGATCATAACCGTCCAAAATAAAATGCAACGTCAGTATACCATTAACCGTAACAGAAGAATCAACCACCTACAAGAGCATTAAGCAGCGCAAGAGCATTACTGGTATACTGCTCCACCCTCGCAACCTTCGCACGAAAAGCCGCCACCTCCGCGGTAGCGCCGCCGCCGCCGACTACTTCGTCAATACCGTCGATGCAGGTATCTTCATTGGTTAGCGCAGCGCTCATCCACGTCTGAGCATTCGATACCTCCCAAGCAAAACTCGGCCCGCCGGCCTGCGCCGCCGGTCCGAGCTTCTGGATCTCCGCCGCCGACTGCTCAGTCAGATCCGCTGCAGTCAGCAGCAAATCGACGCAGTCATGCAGCGCGGAGGCTATTCTCTTCGTATTGCGGCGTTGCAGCGCCACCCCCTGAAAAGAAGCTTCTTTTATGTTAGCGAGGCTGATGTTGGCGGCAATGACGGCGAGGGTTAAGGGGTTCTGCCGGACGGTGGCGGCGTAGAGTTTAAGAGAGGAGTAGCAGCGTTGGGGGTAGAGGGTTACGGAGCAGCTGCGGCGGATGAAGTTGGTGGAGTCGGGGGAGGCGGCAGAATTCGCCGGAGATAAAGCGGTGAGGAGGAGGGTGAGGATGAGGAGAGGAGATGCCATGGGAGTTAGTTGAGATGGGGAAGTTTGGGGTTCACGGGATTTTTTATGCGGGAGAGGGTTGGATGGAAATGACGGAAATGCCCTTGATAATGGCTAATGATGATTTCCTTGATTATAAAGATTTTTTGTGGTAAAAGAGATTTTAGACCTTTGAATTTTTCTAATGGAGATTTAAGGTCTACTGATTGCTTGACACTTCAAATAATATCCAAAAATTTCAAAAAATATTTCAAGCTCTTAAGTTTCTTTGGGTTCAAAAGAGATCAATTTTAGGTACACTAAATATATCTTATTAGGTTATTCAATTTAATTATAAATTTATTAAGAATATAATTTATATGATTCTAAAATTAATTTCAAAATTTAATATTTACATACACTAAATCAAGGTTCAATTTTATTTGAATGAAGTTTTTATTATATACTTAAATTTATCATTAAGCTTACGCTTTTATGATTGATTAACTTTCATTTAAAAGTGTACTCAGTGGCTTGTACAAGAATTTAATTTTTCATTATCTTCGTAATTGGAAAAGAAATCTCTGTATGAATCGACTTACTGATACGGTCTAATTATCGATCCTTGGACTCAATGATGAGCCTCTAGTCATCTCTATGATGGTTGGACTTGTTTGGGAATCAAATATTCCCTTGGGTTGGCTCTCTTTTGATGATTGGCTTTGGTCTTGCTCACCTGACTCGAAAAACTTCACTCGATTGGATAAATAGGCATAATGATCTTCTTTTAGTGGGCTCACCTTCACCATATTCTTCCCTTCTGGATCGTTAGTTATCCTCAGGATCATCACTAACTTTTTTTTTCATACATGCCTTTTATTTTGACCTAAAATAATATATTTTATTTTTTTAAAGGTAAATAATATATTTTTCAATATAATATGGAAGATTTGGATGATATTAATGTAAAAAATAACATTTTTTTTGTCTTATGGCAGAAGTGAGCATTTGTTTTTCAAAGCATTCGAGCACTATCAAAACTAAAATTTAGATATTATTTAAATATAAAAATATAGAATTGATGATGTGTCCTTTAAAACCTTACTAAATATATAATACGTTAAAAATTTTATCCTATAAACTAAAGCAGTTAATAATCGTAATAATATAATATTAAATAATTTTTAAATTAAATAATAAATTGAAAATTTATTTAAGGATATGAAAACTTCAAATGTCTCGTTCAAAATAAAAAACAAGAAACTTTTTCTTTTTTTGTCCTGGAACTGCGGCGAAGAAGCGGCTGAGATGGGGGGGATCGCTCGATTGTAGCCATTTTGTGCCCATTGGCCCATCGCTGATCCTAGGCTTTAATCAACTGTTATTTAAGGATGGAATAAGTATTAGGAGGTAATTTTTTGGTAAATTTCTTATATTATTAAATCGCTAATTAAAAATTAAAATTAAATTTATTTTTTATTGAGAATTAAATAAAATATTTTTATATATTTTTGTAGAGATCAGCAATTCTAAGTTTTAAGGAAATGATTAAATTATTTTTTTATTGATAATTATTAATTTTTTTATATATTGTTTGACCAGTCACAAGATTTGCCTTTGAACGAAATCAAGCCTTTATTGTTTTTTTCCTTTATTTTACTTATAATTAATATGCTATAAATTAGAGCTAACAGAATCTTTAGTTACACTATTACGTAAGACTTATCCTTCAAGATATACAAACAGCACTCTGGCCCAGAATACTATAACTTACATGGCAAACATTAAATGGATTCGAATGGCTACCTCTAATCACAAATAATTTTCCTATAAGCTCTCGAAAATTATTTCATACGGATACCACCATATGATATCCGATCTCCATCGTCCATCACAACAAAGAAGTATGACGGTGGGCCTCATTTAAAAAAAAAAAACTTGTTGTGATGAAAGGTGGAGATCGGACACCGTATGCATCTCTGCATAGGTGCCCAAATGCACTAATTATTTTGAGAAATAATTTTGTATTTAGTTAATATACATGATTATTATAAACTATATCAACATTTGAGATCGAATGCTGTAATGATTTGTCCATGCTGCGTGTCCGATAACATGATTTGCGCTTTAATCTGGAGTCAATTAGCATAATTTGCGGAGCATGCGAAATTCAGAAATCATAATCATCGGAATTAAGTTGACCCGTGTTGTTTAAAGAACGATTGCGTGTGCTGCATTGGTTAGTTATCTTTCGCACGTGTTTGATGGGATTATGGATGTGCTAATATCAATATAAATAAGTAATATTAATGCAAAGCTCACGTAGATGCATGGGTCAAATATATGCTAAAATTATTTTGGGAAATATAAAATAGGAGAGCACAAATGTTCACAAAATCATGCTCTATGTCTACAAAATCGGCTATGGTCACAAATGTTATGTCGGGGACAAATCAATAAAAATTAGTCAAATTGAATGAATTTAGAAGTCATCAATGCGTACAAAAAATCCATTTCTATGGGCCAATGCACGTCTAGTAGACCTCATGGGCATGATAAGTCCATCTGTTCAAAAGATAAAACAATTGTTGGGATAATTTGTCAACGAACGTGGTCTGCCGACCGGAGCAGGCCCCTCGGGATAATTTCCCCTCCTCAAATTCAGATATTTACCTATATGAGAGATCAATTTGTCATTTGCTCTTCCTGAAATATCACTCATGTCCCTCCTAAAATATAATTTTGGCTCTAAGGTGACAATTTTCCCCCTCTTGGAAAGAATTTGATTTCGCCCCTGTTGTCGACTCTATTCGTCGAAATGTTAGTTGTCTTATGTCAGTTGCTGAATAGGTTCGTCAGAATGACCTGTTGAGCTTACTTGTCAGATTCACTTAACAGACTTATCAATAATATTCATCAGTCGATGATAAAATGCAAAAGGTCATGATCAACATCAACAATTGACAATGATAGATCCTCATATACAAGCCGCCTGACACCTAGTTCGTAATCTTTTCATCGAGTCATCGTGGGAAAATTTTAGACACCAGGACTCAAATTTTAAGATCGGGCTAAAACATGTATAAGTGGAGAATGAGAAGAAGCGGGAGAGGGATCCCCTTTCTCTATCAAACCTTATTTGGGAGATCTTGGGTTGTAACTCAGCTGGGGTCTCTCTTGCTTCCTTTCATCCTTTCTTTCTTGTTTGTTAGATCTTCTTCTACACTCATGAGCAATATGAAACCCGATATTCTAGAAGAATTAAACAATAAAAAATAAATCTTTTCAATTTTTTCTTATAAAATATTTTGGAAATTATATATATACAATATAATTTTTATGGTTTTACATATAATATGTCGAGCAATTAAATATATCATTTTAAAAAATAAAAAAATACTGTCTATATACTACGAAATAGTTGAATGTTATTCATGCAAAGATGAAAGTCTAAATATTACATCTGTAAAATATATAAATATCAACTGATATTCACATAAATGCCCCAGATATTTTACACGTTAAACATACACAATTTAAAATACATAAGTTCTCCTCATCTCACACCCACAAAACATCAAAGTATCGCACAACAATAATTACAATACACTATAGATTATATTCATCACAGTAAGCATCAACCCGCAACAAGCGCATTGAGCAGCGCAAGCGCATTACTACTATACTGTTTCACCCTCCCCACAATCCCAACCACCACCTACCTCCCCCCCCCGCCCCCCCCCCGCCGCTGACGCCATCAAAGTCATCAATGCAAGTATCTTCATTCGTGAGAGCAGCACTCATCCACGTCTGAGCGTTAGAAACCCCCCACGAGAACCCCGGCCCTCCAGCCTTCGCCTCCGGTCCGAGCTTCTGGATCTCCTCCACCGACTGCCGAGTCAGATCTGCAGCCGTCCTCAGGGAATCCACACAGTCGCTCAGCGCCTCGCTTAGCCTGCCTGTACAGTTTCTGCGCAGCCTAGCCGCCTGAAAAGATGCGGCCTTTATCCTGGCCAGGCTGACATTCGCGGCGGCGATGGCGAGGGTTAGTTGACTTTGGTGGACGGCGGGTGCGTAGGGTTTGAGGGAGGTGTAGCAGAGGTGAGGGTAGAGGGTTACGGCGCAGTTGCGGAGGATGAAGTCAGTGGAGTTGGTTGTGGCGGCGACCGCCGGAGGGAGAATGACGGTGAAGAGAAGGGCTATGTGGAGGATGGAGGCCATGGGATTTGCGGCTTGCGGTTTCGGGTCGGCGTTGGGTGATTATAAATGGGAAGGGTTGGAAGGAAATTACGGGAGTGCCATTCGGCGAGATGAATGGCTGATTGATGTACAAGTCTAAAGCTGTGTGTTTGTGGATTGCGTGGTATTTATTTAAATGTCACTAAAAAAGAAGGAATGCGTTGGAAAATGTCGGTCATAATTATATATATATATATATATTGAAAAAATGTGAGGATCATACTTAATTTTATTTAGGCAAAAATGAGTTACAAAATGAATATATAAATTACAACTCACACGGAAAAGAATGAAAACAACAAACAAAAATGTCAATAAGAATGAAAACTCTAAAATATGACAACATTAATAAACAGAACGCGAACAACACTCTAATAAACACCAAAATAGCACTCCTTAATGAAAGATATACAGTCCATCGTATGAAAAGAACAAACAAAAAAGAACAAAAATTAAAAAGAAATAAAAAAATCATAGAAGACAAGCAAGTAATTATAGTTTTTCAATATATCATGTAAAATGTGTATAATGGTTAGCCACTCATTTTAAAATATATTATCTTACATGAGAAACAATTTTATGTTTTTTTTTATATACCAGTTTTAACTTGCAACTAATAACGGTCGTCTGCGGTGGAATAAAATATATGAACAAATGGAAACGCGGGCCGCACTAGCACGCCGGCGTGCCGCGCCCGCGTGAGAGCCGCGTGAGAAAAGGCTTGGGCGTTTCTTCGGGCTGGAAATGTGGCGATAGATCGCCAGCATTTGCGGGATTGCACCTGCGTGGCTTTTTTATTTTTAACCTTCTTAGAAAAATAAAAGTCACATTAACTTTTTCTTATATACAAAAATATTGGAAAAAATAAAAACAAAAAACACAACTCAACCTAAAATAATCCAGACACCAATTAAAGGGAATCTAGCTAAGAAGTACAGCTCCAAAAATAGCTAACAGATGCAGCCCACCCCAAAAAGCTCCAGCCAGAAGCGCCCGAAGAGAGCATATGAAACAGCGAAGAAGACAATTCCTAAGCAGCAACAGATTCCAAACACGTAACACAATAATAAATGCTAGGAACTTCTTCAGGTACGAAGAAAGGCTTGTCAGAATCAATCACCAACAATAAAGATAGTCCTTCATCTCAAACGACAACCAAACCTGGAGAGCCAAAAATTATCTCCCTGAGAAGAGATCAAGATAATAGACACATAAAAATACTGTGAAAATAAGATAAACATCGCCAACAAAGCCAAAAAAACTAAATCTTAAGATCAACAACAGTAACAGCAACAAATCTTTATCTCGGTAATTGGGTTCGGCTACATGTATCTTTTTTCTCCATTGCGTTCGATTGAGTGTCATATTTTCATTCTATTTTAATAAATTAAGATTTTTTTTTATACAATATGACCAAGTCTTTTTAGATCTACCCGTTTTTCTTAACATATGCCGAATCTAAAGAATCCACCCTTCTAACTGAATCATATGATGGTCAACATTTAATGTGGACAAACCATCTATGATGATTCTTCCATCACTGGAGGCAAACCTATCACAAATATATTCATTTAGCAATTTTTTTCTGAGTGTAAAGCCACTCACCCACCTAAGTATTCTCATCTCGTTAACACTTCACTTAGCTTTATGCTTCTCTTTTAAAGGCCAACATTATGAACCATAGAGCATTGCAGGTCTCACCACAATCTTATAAAATTTTATTTTTAGTCTTAGAATGACGGACACGCCGACAGTCTCTATTGACCGGGACGCAGACGGGTACCATTGATTGCGACTAATAAGTCGACCCGCCTTTACCACGGCGGTCGAGATCAACACTCAACCAGGTGCCTCGACCGACCAACCTATGGCGTAGTCGCAACTCAATTGGTCGCCTCACTTGACCAAATTCAAGCAAGTCGACTAGCCAAGTTACTATCATATTAAAATTTAAATTGTGATGCTCTTATAGTAAGAAATCCATATGATTACTTTAAGCATCAATTATATTAAGATCAATTTTCATTCATTTTTATAATTATACAAAATACACATCTATAAATAAGAGGCAAAAAAATAAATAAAAAGAACTTTCACCGATTCTCTTTACAGTAAACTCTTGACTCGCTAAACTCTTTTTCTCTCTTAATTCCTTCACTTAATCCTATACTCTCGGTGTGTGCTCACAAGAACAACTAAGAACCCAATAAGTATTTCAAAGTGAAATATACATTTTCATATATAGATTCTTCACGTCAAAATATTATAAATATAAATATCAAATTTTAGGTGGTCTATAATTTAAAATAAAAAAAAAAATTGAGTGCGGTATATATCAAAATTCCCCAATAATTTATTATCAAAATATTCTCTGGCGTCTCTGAAAATCTTAGATCTCACATGTGCGATATGATGCCTTAGAATTATTATTATTTACTTAACATAAATTTATTTATCAAACACTTCTCTAACTTTATAAACATTGATGAGATTTAACTTCAGTGAAAGAAGGCACTTTCCATCAAAATTTAGCTGGAAAGGCATGGCATAAATGCTTGATGCATATAAATACCGTGAAATGAAGTACATAATAAAATAAAGTCACATATAATATTGGATCTAAGCATTTTTTTCAGAAAATCAGTCGCCAATATCTTAATAGTGTAGCCTTATGTGCAGCCGAAACTATGCCTTGTGGTCCATCTCCGGCTATCCCGTGATAAAAGATGCTGTTTGGCTTTTTTGTCGTATTTCACCAACACAATTATTCGTCACAATTGGATAGTATATGCTAATGTAGCCCGTCAAAATGCTTTAAGCTGTATTTGAGATCAACCGCAAGCCGAATTAAGGCTCCGTCTGAAGCCCTTTCAAATGTCCCGTGTGGTTTGTGGAACCGGGCTCATCATCTTCATTCTGAAATGATAAAATTTTGATGTTTTTCTGATACAATGTTCGGAGATATTATGAAAAAGTTTCATCGACAAACGTTGATTTTACCATACAATAGCACTGTGTGCGATCGAATGGAAATCGAAAGCCTTCTCAAACAGAGCCCAAGGGTTGCTCTGTTTTGGAGTTCTGAATGAGATTTTATGATTAGCACGCGGCACAATTTTTATTAAAACAACGGTCTCAATATGCGAGAAGAAGGGTTATAAGTGAAACTACGGTTTTATATGAAGCGTGTAGAGAATCTTCTTTAAATATTGATTCTACAGGTTTTAGATGAGATATAGGGTTATTATTGATACAAACATAAATGATTTTATTAGGATATATCTGTTAAATTTGGATAATGAGATTGGAGATAAACATAACAAACTCATTTTTTCTGTTCAATTCGTTCCCGATCTGTGTGAAAATTTCACAATAGCACTCGTTCATGAGAATGAGATATTGAACTATGCCAAGATGACGATGATTTTGTTGAACTATGAGTTCTGTTAAAGAGATATGGAGTTTGTAAAGATCGAGTCAGTGAAGGCATTTACACTCCAAGGTGGATCTCAAATAAAAAAGAATTGGTAAAAAAATGGAGACAGCTGTGATACTTCTCAAAAGTGGGACAAGTCTCGTATGTGTGATCATGAGAAAAATCAATTTGTTTTCTATTTAGAGATAAATCATTAGAAGAAAGATTATTTGAAGTTAAATTAGAAAGGCAAGGGAGTCTCCTTTCAAGAGAAACCCAATCTTTTATGGAGAGGTGTGACAAAGTGAATTCAAATGTATTGTTATATATGGTTTCTCATAGTTTGCATATCGATGATTCATGCTAGATTATGAACACATGTATTACCTATCATATTTGTGCCCATGGAGAGAGGTTATGCATGTACAAGAAGCTTGATAGTGGTTCAGTGACTATGAGCAATGATCAAAGATTTATGATGGTACTATGAGGGAGTTGACTGATGTTAGACTTATTCCAGATATCATGAAGAATTTTCTATTAGTTGGGGTCTTAGAGGCCAAGGCCTACATAGTACTTAGTAAGGCAGAAGTTTTGAGGATATGTCGTGGAGCATTGATTTTTACGAAGAGAGTTCACCATCATAATCTTTAGTATCTTCAAAATACTATAACGACTAGAATGGTTGATGTTACTCAAGATTCTTCTAACACCACTATAGAGAGGCTTCACTTCAGATTTTGGTAAAACATTGATTGATCATATGATATAGTTTCGTTCCTTTGACCTTGAGGCTATTGAGGTCCCTGTGGACGACGTAATTCACAAATTGCTGACTGGAGATCTCTAAACTTGTTGTGTCGACTACTTTTACGATCAAGTAGACTTAGAGTCCTAGTAGCTTAGAATGATGGGCCCTGTGGTACCCTGACTTGACCACCTCTACCTATTAAAGATCACTCTTCCCTTCCTTTAACTACCCTCATTGAGCCTTGTCACTTCTCTTGTTGTCATTAATATCATTTTGGTGGCCCAATTCCCAATGAGCTGTAACCCATTTGGGATACAAAATTTTGTCATCTGCTCTTATGACGTGAAAGTGTTTTGATGTATCGGGATACTCCGTCAAAATGATATGGTTATTTTGTAGGCTATGTGTGTTGATGAGTCTATTACCCATGCGTGACCTTGAGAGACCCACTCTCCACCCCATGACTCAGCGAGAATTTTAAAAGCATCAGTGTATTCCCCTGTGAAATAACTGTCATTTGATAGCTTTGTGTTAGTTCTCACTTTAAATGAAAGCAAAATTCTCTGAATCAAGAGTATTCTTGGGCAACCCCCAAGATGTAATTAACTAAGTGGGACATGTTCCCCTTGGGAGCACTCTGGACCCCAGAATAGGCAAACACGCTTAAATCTCTAGTTGTGAGTAACTTTCGTAGGCATTTTTTGTAGATATTTGGCACAAGCTATTTCGGTCTGATTTTGTTTGGGCGTATATGCTTGGTCAATCTTTACGAGGTTTTGTCGCACGGAAGTTCTCGCGCTTTGTTGTATGTCATGCTTTTCTAATTCCTCTTTATTCTTAATCATTTACATGATCCAGAAGAGAAACTTAAAAAAAAAAAAGTCTACAATGATGGATATACTAACGACTTCTTTAAAATTAAGAAAGAGAAATGAAATAAA